AGGCTTGGAAGTGCTGCCGCCCAAGTGCTGAGGTATGGACTTGGACGGGAGGAAGAGTCTGCGGAAGCCAGAGCATTGCACCCATTGCCATCCACTGATACCTTCCATGAAGAAGTCTGCGTTTATCGGGTGGAATTTCCATTTGAGATGTTACAGGTCCTTTACAGAGCCGAGACCATATATTTGGGATACGCCATTTAATGAAGAGGGATCAATGACCGAGTCCCTCCACGCGGATACAAAAGACAAAAACTAACACAGTCCTATGTAAGCACCTGACTCAGGATCAGCCTCATGCAGTACTCTGTCTGGGAGAGGGAGGAGCAACCATGGGAGCTCAGTGCAGACTTTTTCACAAGAATCGTGCTCATGGAAGGAGACAGCAGAGTGTCCAGAAGAAGGACCTGTGCGGTCGGCAGGCTTGTGGTGGAGAGAGGACACCCCAGTATTCCTTAAAGGAGCATGCACTCTTCCCAATACTTAGTGCCGGCATGTGACACTGGTTTACAGATCGAGAACTGAATGACCACAAACTGCTCACGGCTTCTCCCTCTGGCTGTCAATCACTGCTCCCCTCCTCTCTCTCTGCTTCTAGACAGACAGGAGGGGGACGGGCACAGCTGGCTCTGTCTCTAGAGAGGCAGAGCCAGCTGTCAATCAGGCAGCGAGGTGGATCCTGACAATACTGTCGGGATCCTTCCTGGCTACAGCGCAGCTCTCTCCGCTGTCAGCAGCCTATAGCGGGACTTTGGGTCACAGGAGGACATCAGTAAATATACACCTGTGACCCATAAGAGGGCTAGAGCCAAAAAAAGGTTTGGCCTTAGTCCTCTTTTACCTGCATATTGTGTCAGCCACCCGGCTGTTCTGTCTGGCAGAGCTGTCTCAATCTCAGCTCTGGGTGGACTGGAGGTCAGCTATTGGGACCACCCTTTTGCTGTTATGACCTCCTACAAGCGAGATCCATAGCCAGACACCAGCTTCTGAGATCGTAAATAAAAAATAATAAAATAAAACATTTAAAAAAAATTTAATAAAAAGTAAAAAATACTAAATAAAATAAATTGAAATTTAAAAAAAGTAAAAGTCAAATAATAAAATAAACAAAAATTAAAAAAATAAAAAAGTAGAAAATAATAAAATAAAAAAATTAAAAAAAAATTAAAAAAGTTTAAATCAACCCTGTCGCCCCTGCCATCTGGTTGCCCTTCTCCATTGCGTTGGCGTGGAGGGGAGCGCATTGAGGAACATGGCCCCGGGGCAGCAGAGAGAGTAAATCCAGCCCTGATTGCATATCTATATGAGCAGAGAGTGACTTTCATGAGGACTCCATCCAATTGTTTTTTCTATTGTTTAATCTGATTAATAAAAATTTAACATTATGAGGGAAATTTATCAAAACTGGGGCAGACAGAACCTAGAGCAGTTGCCCATGGCAACCAATCAGCATCCACCTTTCATTTTCAAACCTTAAAGGAGAACTATGAGATGAGTGCTTTTCGTAGCTGTAGCTCGCGGTATACAGAGCTTAGGGTAACGGGAGGACGCTAGTTTGTGTCCTCCTTTACCCTAAGGAGAACTATGGGGAAAACCCCTGACCCCATAGTTCTCCTTTTAACTGAACAAACTGAAGAGAGAAGCTGATTGGTTGCCGTAGACAACTGCTCCAGATTCTTCTGCTTCAGTTGTGATAAATTCCCCCTATATATCATGTCCATTCCCCTAAAATCACACGTTTGTTTTTAAGTGGCATCATTTATGTCTTCCTTATATTATAAAGCGCTGCGCAAACTGTCGGCACTATATAAATCCTGAATAATAATAATAATTTATTCATAATAAGAAGCAAAATAATACATTTTTCACATATTTGATATTCTCTATAGAAGGGTTTCTGGTGAATCAAATTGTTAAACATCGGCCTTGAGCAGGAGGATACAAAGACCCGGAGGAGGCGCGATGTTCTGCAGAACGTAATAACTTAATAACGTGATTTAGCGGGGAGCTTTTATCGGCTCGCTCTCAGAAATATACACACCGTACATCTGAAAAGGACATTTTCAACGTTTTATGGAAAGCCGAAAGATACATTGTAACATTTTAATGGGCTGCTGCGTTTTGTCACCTCGTACAACCCCCTCTTCCCCCCGCTTCCTTACTCCGTCCAAACTTGGGTGAAAATTGGGAGGTTTTGGTGAACGGATTGGAGCCAGAAGGGAATCGGGATTAAAGCTGAAGTTGAATCGGCTTCTATTTTGCTCTCCGGGTTAAAGAAATACAAAAATGTGTTTTCTGTTTTCATGAAATACTTAAGGGAAGGATGAAGGTCAGATATAAGACTGAAGGGAAGGATGAAGATCAGATAAGACTGAAGGGAAGGATGGAGGTCAGATAGAAGACTGAAGGGGAGGACGGAGGTCAGATATAAGACTGAAGGGAAGGATGAAGGTCAGATAGAAGACTGAAGGGAAGGACAGAGGTCAGATAGAAGACTAAAGCGAAGGATGGAGGTCAGATAGAAGACTGAAGGGAAAGATGGAGGTCAGATAGAAGACTGAAGGGAAAGACGGAGGTCAGATAAGACTGAAGGGAAGGATGGAGGTCATATAGAAGACTGAAGGGAAGGACGGAGGTCAGAGAGAAGACTGACGGGAAGGACGGAGGTCAGGTAGAAAACTGAAGGGAAAGACGGAGGTCAGATAGAAGACTGAAGGTAAGGATGGAGGTCAGATAGAAGACTGAAGGGGAGGACGGAGGTCAGATAGAAGACTGAAGGGGAGGACGGAGGTCAGATAGAAGACTGAAGGGGAGGACGGAGGTCAGATAGAAGACTGAAGGGGAGGACGGAGGTCAGATAGAAGACTGAAGGGGAGGACGGAGGTCAGATAGAAGACTGAAGGGGAGGACGGAGGTCAGATAGAAGACTGAAGGGGAGGACGGAGGTCAGATAGAAGACTGAAGGGGAGGACGGAGGTCAGATAGAAGACTGAAGGGGAGGACGGAGGTCAGAGAGAAGACTGAAGGGAAGGACGGAGGTCAGGTAGAAAACTGAAGGGAAAGACTGAGGTCAGATAGAAGACTGAAGGGAAGGATGGAGGTCAGATAGAAGACTGAAGGGAAGGATGGAGGTCAGATAGAAGACTGAAGGGAAGGATGAAGGTCAGATAGAAGACTGAAGGGGAGGCCGGAGGTCAGATAGAAGACTGAAGGGAAGGACGGAGGTCAGATAGAAGACTGAAGGGAAGGACGGAGGTCAGATAGAAGACTGAAGGGAAGGATGGAGGTCAGATATAAGACTGAAGGGAAGGATGAAGGTCAGATAGAAGACTGAAGGGGAGGACGGAGGTCAGATAGAAGACTGAAGGGGGTGTCGGTAGAAATGAAGGGTGCATTGGACTATAATTGGCTCCTGAGGGTTATAGAAGATCCCCGGACTCGTTCCGGCCTCCTCGTTATTGTTGTTACATTAGAATTGTTTCTTTTTACAGAGAGAGATCTCAGCGCGATATGACGGGAATAACGATCAATTACACAACAAAAGGGAACAAAACACAAAGAACACCAACGGAGCCAATTCATCGACGTTTTCACCCAAGATTCACACAATCACCTTCACTAAGTTGTATCTCGGGTGAAAACATCGATGAATTGGCCCCCCGAGATCAAACTAAACTGCTCTGAACACTTCACATCCCGAACAGACCAATCAGAGAGTTCAGAACACAATGCGTCCTCTCCGGGGATCCAATTGCTGATCCCGACCAAGAGATCGGTTCAGTGACGCTGGATGCCGATGATGATGATGACGGCTCTACATTTACTTTATTGACAACAAGGACGGTGACAACGTTTAACATTGAGTCGGAGACACAGAAACTTCTATGAACTATGAACAATGAGAAGAAGAACAATGAACACGACTCAGACAAGAAGACGAGGCCGGAGAGGAGGCCACAAATCTGGGACCGCAATCACAGCAACTCCACCGCAGTAAGTTGGCTCTCACGCTGCCTCTGGTTGGGGGTCTGACACGTGGGCGCCATCTTGTCTGTGAGTCACAACACTAAATCCTCCAAGCAGGGCCGCCATTGGCCGATCAACAAGGTCACAACGCAGGTGAAGAACCACAAAACACACCAACCGGGAGAACCCAACTCAATGCAATTCACTGAACGATGGCGGATCCCGAGAGCCAGCAACCACATTCAGTCCACAAGCCAAGATCCAAACTATCTATCTATCTATCTATCTATCTATCTATCTATCTATCTATCTATCTATCTATCTATCTGTCTGTCTGTCTGTCTGTCTGTCTATCTGTCTGTCTATCTATCTATCTGTCTATCTATCTGTCTGTCTGTCTGTCTGTCTATCTATCTGTCTTTCTTTTTTCTTTCTTTCTTTCTTTCTTTCTTTCTTTCTTTCTTTCTTTCTTTCTTTCTTTCTTTCTATCTATCTATCTATCTATCTATCTATCTATCTACCTACCTGTCTTTCTTTCTTTCTTTCTTTCTATCTATCTTTTTTTCTTTCTTTCTTTCTTTCTTTCTTTCTTTCTTTCTTTCTTTCTTTCTTTCTTTCTTTCTTTCTTTTTATCTATTATACATTATTATATATCCATATCTAGTTTTCTGAATATCTATCTTCTTTCTATCTATCTATCTATCTATCTATCTATCTATCTATCTATCTATCTATCTTCATCTATCTATCTATCTATCTATCTATCTATCTGTCTGTCTGTCTGTCTGTCTGTCTTTCTTTCTTTCTTTCTTTCTTTCTTTCTTTCTTTCTTTCTTTCTATCTATTATACATTAATATATATCCATATCTAGTTGTTTGAATATCTATCTTCTCTCTCTCTCTCTCCCCCTTCCTGGCTCTGTCTGCGCTCACCTGCCTACCTCTCGTCTCTCCCCCTATCTCATACACAGCAGCGCAATGAGATGGGATCAGAGTAGGGATCTGTGTGAAGAAAGTGCGGGAAATTGGGAACTCACCTGTGGCTGCGGAGAGCAGGGAAGCGATGGAGAGAAGGAGAATCATCCTCCAGTCTGCGAGCTCTGCCAGATACTGAAGTCCAGGATGGAGAGGGATGAGGAGGGGAAGGAGGGGGAGAGGCAGAGCCGTTCCCTCTCTCTCTCTCTCTCTGGCAGCGCAGGGAAATGCGGCTCAGCTCCACCTGTGTATCCCATCCGCTGGCTGTGTCTGCACGTGCACGCCAATGTTCGCTCTCATGCGCAGTCGCGTCTTGCACCTCGACCTACAATGTGTAACGCGTATGATAAAGCATGTATCGAATTTTCAAACCAAGAGCCCGACAGCTGCATGAGAGAGGAGGGGACCTTAACCCGCCGGATGAATGTCCCTCTCAAACACCAAGATGGCCACCGGCGGTAAAGTGTGCGTGACATTAATGAAGTAGGCGCCGTGTGACAGTTCCTGCCCTTAAGCTCCATCTAAGGTCCCTATCACACATGCTAGGGCCAATCTAGACAGGAGCCAACCAACCTACTAGCATGGCGTGTGGGAGAAGACCCGGACAAGCACGGGGAGAACATGCAAACTCTATGCAGATAGTGTCCTGATTGGGATTTGATCCTGGGGACCCCCGGTTGCTGCAAGGCAGAAGTGCTCTATTATAATCACCATCATGTGTAATGTCATATGCTGGCTGGTGCTTGACCTTCTGAGCATGCGCACAAAGATCCACGCATGTGCGGCCCAATACCCCTCTGAGAATTTTTCATATGGAACTTTTTTTTCTTACAGATCCCTTTGAAGATAGCCACGCACACTGGAAGCGGTTGTATTTCTATATGGTACACATCATTTATACATCTAACAGCACTTAGATGGACCCAAAAACAGTCCATATTTTAGGGATGAAGGGCTTAGCCGGTGTGTGTTTGGATGCTGAATCATGCATTCCAGACTTCTTAGTAAATTCTGCTTTCACATGCTATGCTAGCTATTCTCAGTCTTTTCTCAGTCATGAGACCCTTTAAAAGTATGCAAATTCCCGAGGCACCCCAAGTCTAATATGCTAGCCTTCTTCACATCAGAGCCCCACCCTTTCACCTCAGAGGCACCCTTCACATCAGAAGCCCCCTTCACAATAGAGTCCCCCTCTTTCACATCAGAAGCATTTTTTACATAAAAGCCCCCCTCTTTCACATCAGAAGCCCCCTTCAAATCAGAGCCCCCCTCTTTCAAATCAGAGCCCCCCTCTTTTACATTAGAAGGCCCCCTTCAAATCAGAGCCCCCCTCTTTCATATCAGCTGTAGCTTGCGGTATACTGAGCTTTGGGTGACGGGAGGACGCTAGTTTGTGTCCTTCCGTTACCCTTAGGAGAACTATGGGGAAAAGCACTGGCCCCATAGTTCTCCTTTAATAAGGTCTGAGGAAATGACAAAGCTTATTTCCTCCATATCAGTCATAAACCCCCGGAGCCCCTAACCATGTGTAGGTGGGAAACCTAGGTGAGACATAGACACCGTCCACAATCCTGTCCACCAGGACCTCACACTATATATCTCTTTACAATGGAAAGCTATAGCACAGTAGAATCGGAAGGCAGCTGTGAAGCACTTAGAGGTTATTTCTACGTTGTAATTGACTGATGTGGATTACAATACTTTAAACGCAGCTCTAAGTCTTTCACGAACCCCGGCAATTCAAACTGAGCCTATGATGAAAAATAGACATAAGCCGAGGTGACATTCAGTGAACACAACATTATTCAATCACAATTATTACACCTAGAGAAGGAAACCCTAACTGTTTCCTGTAACCTTTCACCTTCCAGCCATCTCTGTTGGACCATTAATATGTACGTTTCGGTAAAATAAAAAGAACATCTTCAGTACTTATTCTTAACAAGCAGTACATGGGCTCTCAAACAAGTCTTCACTGCCTCTCTGACCTCTGTAGCTATAAGCACTATGGAGCAATTCATCTTAACAATTCACAGTAGATCTATTAAAGTCCAGTTCCCTATATGTCTGGAGTTGGGCTTTAAAATCATTCAAGTTATTCTCAATGTTCCAGTTCTGTGCTGACTAGAAACACACTCTTGACCCTGAGGAGATGCTGGTATATGGGGGTTACACACCAGACTAGCGAAGGGGGCCTGCACACTTGTGTCCCTGTTGTGATATAAGCATGTATACCCAATTTTCTTTTCATGTAGAAGCCACACTGTTTCTTTTTCTTTATTAAAAATATCTAAATAATAAAACCCAAATGTGACGTATCTGTATGAGGAGCCCTAGATGCTTTCATGTGTTCGTATGAGGAACCAGAGGTGATGAGGGTGGCCTCTTGCTGTCACATATCTGTATGAGGAGCCCTAGATGATGAATGTGGCCTCTTGCTGTCATGTACTCATAGGAAGAACCAGAAATAATGAGGGTGGCCTTTTACTGTCACGTACCCCATATGAGAAACCAGAAATGACGAGGGTGGCCTCTTGTTGTCACATATCTGTATGAGGAGCCCTAGATGCTGTCATGAATTCGTATGAGAAACCAGAAATGACGAGGGTGGCCTCTCGCTGTCATGTACTCATAAGAAGAACCAGAAATAATGAGGGTGGACTTTTGCTGTCACGTACCCCATATGAGGAACCAGAAATTACGAGGGTGGTCTCTTGTTATCACAAGCCCATATGAGGGACAGGAAATGATGAAGGTGGCCTCTTGCTGCCACATATCTGTATAAGGAACTGGAAATGACAAGGGCTGCCTCTTGCTATCATGTGCCCATATGAGGAGCTAAAAATGATGAGGATGGTCTCTTGCTGTCATGTACCCCATATGAGGAACCAGAAATGACAAGGGTGGCCTCTTGCTGTCATGTGCCTATATGAGGAGCTAAAAATTATGAGGATGGTCTCTTGCTGTCATGTACCCCATATGAGGAACCAGAAATGACAAGGGTGGCCTCTTGCCATCACTAGCCAGTATGTGGACCTGGAAATGATGTGGGTGACCTCTTGCCGTCATGTAGGCATATGAGGAACCAGAAACGATGAGGGTGACCTCTTGCATAGTTTCAGTCTGAACACGCCTGTAAACTAAGGCCGGCTCACATTATCTGATGGAAAGGTACAAGTGCCTGAGTGCAGGAACTGTTGACTGGAACTCGGGAATCCTGATATCAGATGTGCAGGAGTACTGTTGAAAGTTCACCAAGAATGCACAGTCTTCAGATAAAGGCACAGGGGCAGAAACAACTGCAAAGCACTTAATCATTAGCAGATTTGAAGTCCATTGCTGAGCCCGATGTAGGGGATCCTACGTAGCCCCGAAAGCGCTAGTGTTGGTCACATGATGTTCCAATAAATAACCTTTTTGGACTACAATATTGTTGGTGTGCTGGTGACATCTATCCATTTTATACATTTTATACTGAGTGGTGGCACCATCCGCGGTCACTGTGAGCACCCACCCCACCCCCCCCATCCAATTTTGTTTTTTTTTCCGGTAAGGAGTGCGATAAGGTATCTTTTTCATTTGGTCAGGATGATCAGGCACAAGTTTAGAATCTCAGATCACAGAATACAGCTGAAAGACCATTAAGCACTGTGCCTGGGCAGGACTCGGCTTTAAATAGCTGGTTTGGCACAAATGTCAGTGGTGGACATACGCTCACACATACGCACACAGCGGGAGGCAGGCATGCTAACACACAGGAATTAGCTGGCCAGCAGCAGATCTTGCTGCCTCTAACTATTCAAAAAGTTTGATTTTAGCAGATATAAGGCATCTATAAATAAGCCAATTTAGTGGCAAATCTCCACCATCGGTTCAGTCATCTGGAAAGAGCATGAGAAAAAAATGACAGCAGCATCTATAATCCTAATGATATATATAATGAAGTTCTGTATTTTTATAGTAATGAGCATGCTAAATTAAACAGCATAATTGTATTTCTTTCTCTAGCGCAGTGCTTGCCAAGCAACGCTCCATGGACCTCCAGAAACCCGCTGAAACCACTGCAGCCAGTTCATAATCACCCAGCTGGGCACAAATTAAAATGATTTATAAATACAAATTATAAACTTCTTGTGAACTCTTTTTATTCTGAAATGGTTTCAATGTGGCTGTCAGTCCTATGTAAAGGAGCCGTATGCAGATAACATACATTAAATTGCCAAAACTATGTGTGAACCCCTCCAAATGATGGAGTTCAGGTGTCTCCAGTGAAGGTTCTGTTAATATTACATCATACAAAGACATTGTAGACAATTATTATCTTCCAAACTTGTGGTCACAGTTTGGTGAAGGCCCCTTTTTTTTGTTCCACCATGACTGTCCCCTGTGTACAAAGCCAGCTGCATAAAGACATGGTGTGACCAGTTTGGTGAGGAGGAACTTGAGTGTCCTGCACAGAGCCCCGACCTCAACCCTACTGAACACCTTTGGGATGAATTGGAATGGCGACTGAGAGCCAGGTCTTCTTATCCAACATCAGTACCTGACCATTACAAATGGGGACAAATTCCCACAGACACCCTCCAAAATCTTGTGGCAAGTCTTCCAAGAAGAGTGGAGGCTGTTATGGCCGTAAAGGAATACAACTGCACTTCAGTGCACAAGCCCTATAAGTATGTGGACACCTGACCACCACATCTATCCAACAGTATATGACAAAAAGTATGTGGACTCCCTTTGCTAATGCTTGAGTTCTGGTGTCTCCAGTGAAGGTCCTGTCAATAGTACAACATACAAATACATTGTAGGCAATTGTGCTCTTCCAGCCTTGTGGTCACAGTTTGGTGAAGACCCTTTTCTGTTTCACCATGGCTGTCCCCTGTGTACAAAGCCAGTTCCATAAAGACATGGTGTGACCTGTTTAGCATAGATGAGCTTGAGTGTCCTGCACAGAGCCCTGACCTCAACCCTACTGAACACTGAAAGCAAGGTCTTCTCACCTAACATGAGCACCTGACCTCACAAATGAATGCAAATTCCCACAAACACTCCAAAATCTTGTGGAAAGTCTTCCCAGTAGCATGGAAGATGTTATGGCCACAAGGAGA